AACATTTATTACCTCACAGTTTCTGAGAGGTGGTTCAGGTTCAGGTCTCTCGTGAGGTTAGCGTCAAGATGTCAGCTGGGGCTGCCTCACCTGCAGGCTGGACTGGGGCGGGAGGATCGGGTTCCTTGGCGGCTCCCTCCCTGGCTGTGGGCTGGACAGCTCAGTTCCTCGGTGGCTGTTGGCAGAACTCAGTTACTTGCTATGTGGACCTTTGCACAGAGTTTCTTGAGTGTCTTTATTACATGGCAACTGTCTTGTCCCAGAAAAGGAGAGAGAGAGAGAGAGAGAGAGAGAGAGAGAGAGAGAGAGAGAGAGAGAGAGAGAGAGAGAACGCCTGAGCAATGTTTTTTAAACCTAGCTTCAGAAGTCACATACCCTCATTTCTGCCATTTCCTATTGGTTTACAGAGCAATCACTGTACAATTTGGGCGGGTACTATGCAAGGGCATGAACACCATGAGGTAGGGGGTCACTGCAGGCTGTTCTAAGGACCACTATCACCGTGTGCCCCTGGCCCTCAATGGTTCATGTTCCTCCCACCTGCAAAATACTCACCCCCTTCTCAAGGCGCCCCAAACTTTCATCCCATTATAGCAATCGGCCTGAAGTCCAGAATTTTACCATCTACATTTGTTCCAGGATGGAAGACATTCCTCAAGTACAGCTGTTCCATAAGTACACATTTGAGTGAAATTCCCTCTCTGTCGACAGACCTGTGAGCAGAAGAGGGGGCCATCTGCTCCCTCCTCCCGACATACAATGGTGGACAGGCATAGGGTCAGCTGCTATCGATAGTGCCATTCAAGAAGGGGAAGATGCCCTGGGTTTTATCTCTCAATGTTGCAAATGCACCATAATCTAACTTCACTGAAACTATCCACAAGTTACCGTGAATCACACTTGGGAGTCTTCCAACTCTTCAACGGTATTTCTGGCCCATAAGAAAATTTTTCGGTTTGCCCTGGCTGTTGTGGCTCAGTGGATAGAGCGCCAGCCAGTGAACCAAGGGGTTGCCAGTTCGATTTGTAATCAAGGCGCGTGCCTGGGTTGCAGGCCAGGTCCCCAGTTGGGGGTGTGACAGAGGGTGTAGATGTTTCTCTCCCTCTTTCTCCCTCTCTGCCCCACTCTCTAGAAGTAAATAAATAAAATCAGTAAAAAAAGGAAATTATTAGGTTTGTGGCATTCCTACAAATAATGAGTTTTATTCATTACATTTCGATCATTCTGGATTTCATTTCCAACCCCCCTACCCCACAACTTGAACTCCAGTTTGACATTTCTGTTACAGCCACACTTGATTATAGTTAATGTGTTTGTGACAGCACCAGTAGCCTCCGATTTTGTCAAAGATTAAACATTTGAGCCGAGCAGCCACCAGAGACGTGTGATGCTCTGAGAAGCCCCCCGCAGTGTGTGGAGCTGGCCTGAGGCACTTATACTTGAGACGGACGAAGGACCAGAACAGAACAACACAGAGCAGGGGTGGAAGTCCAAGTCCAACGCGGAAAGACAGCCTGCTTGAGCAACCAAGAGTGTCAGCTGTGCCCAAGGTGACAGCAGCAACAGCAGATACCTGTGGCGGACTTCCAGGTGGAACTGAGCCAGTCACTCTTAGCTCAGACACCAAGAGGTGGCTAGAGCAGTCTCAAGCTATCCCAGCTGGCAGTGCACTAAAGATACTATATTCCGTGAAATAGAAAAGATTAAAAGTTTGAGATTCTAGAAATAACTCATGCTTCTGTAAAAAATTTTAAAACTTCCCAAGTATGTAAGAAACTGTAAGTCTCTTTCTCACCTTCTCCCATTCCTTAGAAATAATCTCTCTTGATCCCTTGGTATATACCCTTTTACATATCTTTCTATATTTATTGTTGACAGAGTTTATGCACACGGTTGAATGACAGAGAAACAAACAAACCCTGGTTTTTTGGCGATGCTGTTGAGCCCCGGACTAACAGCCCTGGAGCCAACCTATCTTATTGGCTGCTTCTTTTCTGAGATAATATATTTTTCTTATTATCGGAGGCATTTTGAATTGATTTTTTGGCTAAGTGCAAACAATTAAGCAACTAATTTTTTTGTTACTAACTGATACATTTATCTACTTCAATGAACCCTATTTATTACCTAGTCTTTGCTTCTTAAAAAGTCCCAGCAGAGCCAGGGGGAGCCCCTCGAATGGGACATCTTGCCCTAGCAGAACTGTCTGTCACTTTCCGGAGAGCACCCTCCTATTTTAGCAACAGCAGCACGTTCCAGGCTTGTCCTGAGCTTTACCTGCCCCAAGGCCTGGGGCCAGCTACCCCCAAGGGAGGCCAGGTTGCTTTTAGTGAGGAACAACATTATAGACCAGAATCTTGGCTCTAAGGAGTTGCTGTAGGTGAAAAGGGCTGTCGCTGCGACTGGGACTCAGTTAGTAAGGACAGAGCGGGAGAAGGGCTAGTTTTCCTAACATGTAAATAGTTTTTACAAATCCATAAGGAAAAGACCAAAATCCAATAGCAAATGGAATAGCTGGTTCACAGAGAAGGAAATACAAATAGCTCCTACAACATGACAAGATGCTCAGCCTTGTTCATTATGAGAGAGATGAAATTAAAGTTCTCCTAGTGCACCACTTTCACCTATCAGACTGACTAATATAAAAACATTTATCAACACACTATTGGCAAGAGTGAGGGAGGATGGGCATGCTCATACGTCAGGGACTCGCTGATGGGAGTGGAAATCAGTACGGCTTCCACGGAGGGCAGCTAAAGCAATTTCTGCCAGAGGCACACAAGCGTTTGGCTCAGAAGTTCCATTTCTAGGGTTTTGTACTACTGTTATACTTACGTATGGTAAATGATGTAAATACTAGGTGACTTTTTCAGCAAATTAAAAAAAGATTTTATTTATTTTCAAAGAGAATGGGGAGAGGAGGGAGAAGGAGGGGGAGAGGAACATCGATGTGTGAGAAAAACATCGATCAGTTGCCTCTTGCACATGCCTGACTGGAGACCATACTCACAACCCAAGCATGTGACCTGAACGTGAATCAAACCGGCAACCTTTCATTTTGCAGGATGACACCGAACCAACTGAGCCATACCAGTCAGGGCTCAGCAACATTTTTTTTTTATAGAGTAACAAAAGACTGCAAAAAACTAAATGGTCAATGGCAACCTGAAGAAGAGGAAGCTCTCTAAGTACTGATATGCAATGATCTCCTGATTTGTATTGCAATATGGAAAGAACAAGGTGCAGAACAATATGTAAAGTTTTGTACCAAGTGTAGAAAAAGGACAGAAAGGATAGGCATGTACGTGCTCGTGAATATGCAGGGCTTGTGAAGTGGAGGAACTTGGTGGCTCGGGGCCAAGCGGGAAGGAGACACTAGTGAACACCGCTTGGACTTTGTGAACTGTGAATCAAGGGAATGCATTCCCCCTTCCCGGCAAACACACACACACACACACACGCGCACACACACACACACACACAAACCGAACAAAAAACCCCAAAGCAATCAACCAGAAAATAAACTTTACAGACATTTTCCACCACAGTCAGGGTGGTTTTTTGTTGTTGTTGTTGTTTTTTTTTAAAGATTTTATTTATTTATTTTTCGAGAGAGAGGAAGAAGGGAAGAAAGAGGGAAACATCAATGGGTGGTTGCCCGTCATGCGCCCCCTACTGGGGACCTGGACCACAACCAAGGCACGCGCCCTGACTGGGAAGCCAACCAACCACCCTGTGTTCGCAGGCCGGCGCTCAGTCCACTGAGCCGCACCAGCCGGGGCCCTTTGGCTTTACTTGGTTCATTGTGCTAATAGTCCTCCACGCCATGGTGGTATCAGAGTTTCTTTTACTAATCTCTTATTATTTGCATTGTCTGGGAGTTATTTGTTTGCCTTTGAATCTTCCAACAGAAGGATGTACTTCTTTATTTATTTTTTAATTTTTTTTAGGACTTATTTATAACTGATCTTTCAGTTTATTTTTTCCCCGCAACCATTGACACCCGCAAGCCTGATATTGTGCAACACCCATGGTGAACAAAAGTGAATAATTAATTCATGCTTGAAAGGCGCCCTCTGCCTCGGAGGGGCTGTCCTCGGTGGCGGATATGGACACGCGAACGAAGGACGGTAGGACGAAGCGGGCAGAGACAGCCGCGGAAGTGCGCGCAGCAGGAACGCAGTGCCGAGGGAAGCTGGGCCGCCCTGCCCAGAGCAGCCGGGCGGGGTGCAATGGCCAGGGAAGACTTCTCTGAAGAACTGGAGTCTAACCAGGATGTAGAAGGCTAAACAGAATTTTCCAAGAGCAAGGACGGCAGGCAAGCAAATGGTGGGTTCCGGGCAACACAGGGCTCCACCGAAAGTGGAGAGACCAGAGCTGAGAAGGGGCAGTGGAATGGATGCGGGAGGGCAGGCCAGGTTAGGAAGAGCGTTGCGTGACAAAAAGTTTGGAGTTTTGCCCTGCAGGCGGCAGAGAGGCAGGCATGTCTGAGCTAGAAAGGAAAGAACCCCCCAGAGCCTTGAAAGGGAATAGACAGGTGTTCAAATTCGGCCAAATTAGTTTGGTGGCCTGCGTGTACCTTCCTCAAACGCTGCTGCAGACCAGGCCTCCTGGTTTCCTCATCTGCCCCACAACCTTGACCATTGACAGGGGTGAACGAACGTGTGAGGCCAGCAGGAGCCCTCACCCGCACAGCCCACCTGCCTGCTGGGTGAGGCATCAATTCCCTTTTTTTTTGCATGATTTATGCCCAAATCCTCTTCAGCTTCCCGTTCCTTCCTCCTCCCACAACGATAATGGTCTGCACTTGCAACACCCCCCACCCCCAGTCGGGGCCCCTCCTTCCAGAGCTTGTGGCCAAATCAAGTTGGTTGGACACCTGCCATCCACACCCCCGACCCCAGCAAGGCTCCCGAGGGGCGGAGTCTTGAGCCCCTTTATTAGGCCCATCTACTCTTCTTCCCCCTGAGAAGGCGCGAAACGAAGCGTCTCAGGACAAGATGGTTCTCTACCGCGTCCGTGTGTCCACTGGGTCCTCGATCTACTCGGGCTCCTGCAACGAGGTGCAGCTGTGGCTGGTCGGCCAGCACGGGGAAGCTTCACTCGGGAAGTGTCTGCGGCCGTCGAAGGGCAAGGTGAGCTGGCCGGCTGCGCCTCGCAGCCCGGAGGCCGTCCAGGACCGGCGAGCGGAGCGTCCCCTGCGCCCACAGCGCTCGGAGACCGCTGGGCAGTCGCTTAGGGCTACTCGAGGCTCAGGGTAGGCACTAAGCAAAGGTTCCAGCCGCCCGGCCTCCTGGGCAAGGAGGGGGAAGGAGGCGCCTGCACGCCCGTGGTCCACAGAGCTCTCTTTTTGAGACTCGGGGACCCCGAAGCGGCTGCCCGTCTCCTGTTGCCCTGGTTCTTAAAGCTGCTACTTCAAACTCCCTTGTCGGTGCTTAATCTCCGGCCCTGCGGGCTTTCCCACGGGGCGGGGAACCCGGGCGGGCGGGGAGGGGGCTGAGCGCTGACTTTCCTCACCAGCTTCTCCTCTCCCGCCGCACCCCCTGGTGTTCGTCCCCGGCTCCTGCTACTCTTTTCTTCCGCGATTCCCATCCGCACGTGCCGATCGCCCCTCTGGCTCTCTCCTAGACCCCCAGGTCCAGACGTCTGTCCCACGGCCGCCTCACAGGAACGCGCCGAGGGCGGCCCGCCCCTTGTCCCACCTCGCTCGCCTCTCCTCTCGCCTCCCCGCGGTCATCGCGCCTCCCACTCTGTGCGTCTCCGACCCAGAATCTGTCCCCCCGACGTCTCGCGCATCTGCTCCCCGATGGCCGACTCGCCCCGACCACCAATGTCCTCTTGAGCCTAAGTCCCCTTCACCCTCTGCCCCCCACCTCGCCGCTTCTTCTCCTGCTCTCCAAGTCCTTCTTACAGTCAGACGACTTCTTCCAAATTCATCCCCATCCTTAATACACCCGCTCTCGCCTGAAACAGAGGAACGGCTCCCGCTCGTTTTCAAGACTAAATCCACAGCCTTGGTTTGACTTCGAGAGTCTTCGCCCTCTCATTTCCTCTCCCCGGCACGCATCTCACCCGACGCTTCCTTCCTCACGCTTTTCCTGGTGATCTCGGCTTAGACAGACTGTCCTCCGGGAAGCCTGGCCCTAGGTCGGGGGCGGAGGGGCTCTACGTCGCTCAGCCTTGGAGGTGGTGGCGGGGGCGCCGGGGTCTCGCGGCTGAAACCGCCTGGTCAACAGCGTATCTCGCGGCACAAGTGCGCATTCGCCCCGGGCGCGGCGCGGGTGACAGCGCCCGCTCAGCGCCCCATACCGTCAGGACTCCCGGGAGGAAAGGGGGCAGGAAGGAGCGCACCTCCCCTCGCCCGCCGCGCTCCGGGCTGACGAGCTCCACCACCCACAATGGGGTCGTGGACACTCCTGGTCGGTGCGCCCCCTTTCTCTTTCTGGCTTCTTTTGCGCCCCTTTCCCAGAAGCCCCCGGAGGGCCCAGGGGTCCCACCCGCGGGTCAGTGGGCGGGGAGCTGAGATCAGTTCCGGTCCCCCGTGCAGCGGTCGCCGTGGATGCTGCCTGAGCCTGTTCTGTCGCCTGCAGGAGGAGGAGTTGGAGGTGGACGTGAAGGTGTACCTGGGGCCACTGCTGTTCGTGAAAATACGCAAGCAGCACTTCTTAAAGGATGACAACTGGTTTTGCAACTGGATCTCCGTGCAGGGTCCCGGGGCCGGTGGGGACGAGTTCAGGTTCCCCTGTTACCGCTGGGTGGTGGGCAATGGCGTCCAGAGCCTCCCCGAGGGCACTGGTGAGTGCAGGTTGGGGTGTGAGGAGGCTTCTGGGGCACAAGAGCAGCTGGGGCTGGTGGGGAGGGGGAGGGGCGCAGGGCACGGGGGCAGAAACCGGAGGGCGGGTCTCTTCGGTTTGCGGAAGGGGCGGTGGCTGGACTGGCACGCAGCAGCCTGAAGCCTGCGGAGGGCCCTTTCCCCTCAGGGTGGGGCAGAGAGGGCACCCCGGCAGGCACAGGGGAGAGGCTTTCAGGAGAAGCCTCATCGTCCATCCCTTCCTCCGCCCTTCTAGGCCGTACATTGGCAGAGGACCCTCATGGGCTGTTCAAGAAATACAGGGAGGAGGAGCTGAAAGACAGAAAGATGCTGTACCGGTTAGCCTTACCCTCCCCGCGACCCCTCCTGACCTCACGGTGGGCCGTGGCCCCTCCTGGAGCCCATGCCTGATTTCATTTCTGCCCCGCAGATGGGGTACCTGGAAGGAAGGGGTGATCCTGAATGTGGCCGCGGCCAGTTTATCTGACCTCCCAGTAGATGAGAGATTTCTGGGGGACAAGAGATGTGACTATGAGACTTCGGTGGCCAAGGGGTGAGAACAAGGGTGACTGGGTGGGAGGGGGGCGTCCCGGCCCAGTGGCGGCCGAGGGGCTCTCAGGGCTGCACAGGGCTGGGTCAGCCCAAGGTGGGCGCTCAGGGGCGTAATGTGTGATTTGGGGAATAACGTGCCCTTTGCCTACCCTTCCCTGAAGGATCGCCGAAGTAGCTGTCAAAGACTCGCTAAACGTCCTCGTTAAGTGGAACGACCTGGATGACTTCGACAGGGTTTTCTGGTGTGGCCGTAGCAAGCTGTCTGGTCAGTATCCCTACCCCAGTAGTTCTCCCAGGACCTTTACCGCCCATCGAGGGACCCAGGGCTGGGAGATCGGAAGGGTGGATGCCTCTGGGAGGCTGGGGTCAAGAGGGGATGGTCTGGTGGGGGTTGGAAGAACCAGGAGCTGCTGACAGCACGCTCCCAAACTGCCACCCCAGTGCAGGCGCGGAACTCCTGGAAGGAGGATGCCTTGTTTGGGTATCAGTTCCTCAATGGGGCCCACCCCATGCTGCTAAGGCGCTCCCGTCACCTTCCCGCCCGCCTCCTGTTTCCGCCCGGGATGGAGGAGCTGCAGGCTCAGCTGCAGATGGCGCTCCAGGTATGGACATAACAGCACAAAGCGGGCCACGTAGTGACATGGGAGCGCAGGCAGTGTTTGTGCTGCTTTGGGGCCCCTGTGAGCCCGGCCTGCGGCCGTGTGGCCAGAGGGCATTGCCAGGGGAAACCTTGCCTGATCCTGGAGATGTGCAGCCACACGGCTTTCCTCCTTGAAGGAGACCTGTCACTTGTGGAGGAAGAGCGGGAAAGGTAATGGAGACAGCCAAACTCAGAAGTAAGTGGGCCCTCATGCTAGGGATTTGGCGAGTGTGGAGCAAGACAATCAGGGCAGGGGTGGGCTTGTTGATCAGGAGTCAACGTGGATCAACTGAGAGATAAAATTCGTGGAATATATTCGTGAGACAGACCTGGGCTTGGACGCGGGCTTTGCTGTTCATAAATGGTGTGATTTCAGGCAAGGTACCTATCCTTTGTTTCTCATCTGTTTCCTCTTATATAAAACTGGGGCCAATTGAATATGTGTAAGAATTATGAGAGGCCATCAGCACGGGATTCATTACCTGGTACAAAGTAGGTGGTGGAGAAAAATGAGTTTCCTATGCTGCTTCTCCTTTTGGGGAATCAGGGAAGGAAGAGGCCTCCCGCTGACAGCCTGGCCCTCTGCCCCCTCCAGGGAGGCACACTGTTTGAAGCCGACTTCTCCCTGCTGGATGGGATCAAGGCTAACGTCATCCAGTGTGAACAGCAGTACGTGGCGGCCCCTCTGGTGATGCTGAAACTGCACCCTGATGGGAAACTCTTGCCCTTGGTCATCCAGGTGAGAGGCCCCAGGGTTTCTGCTCGCCGTGGCTCGCCCGCTCAGCGCAGCGTCCCCGCTCAGCGCGGCCCCTCACCCAAACGCACTGAGGAGTCACTAGTGCTTAAGCCCTGGAGATGGCATTAAAGGAGGAAATGGGCAAAGGGGAAAGTGCAGCCAAGCTGGAGAGACAGGCTGGAAAAACCTCAAAGCCCTCCAGTGCTGAGGAAGTGCCTGAGGATGGAGACAGCCTGGGAGGGGTTGTGGGAGCCTTGGGGGAGGGGCGGACCTCCGGGGCAGGGAAAGAAGGGTTGGGCAGAGAGGCTGAGGTGTGAGGACTTAGGTTTCCAGGGGACAGTTGGGCGGGAGTGGTGGGGAATCATGTGAGGAGGGCGGGCCCGGAGTGCAGGGAGTGCAGTGGGCCACGGCTGCCAAGTCAAGGAGTAGAAACACAGGAAGCTGGTGTAGGCTGCCGTGAGAGATGCAGTGGGCGCATTCTATGGATCATTGTGTTTAGGACTGATTGGAGCAGGCAGACGCTAGATACAGAGATGAGGGTGACATGCTACAGCAATTGTCCAAGATGGGGGTGATGGGCTCAGATGTGGGAAGTAGCTGTGGGCGTGCAGAGGACAGTGAACCTGGCCTGGATTCAAGGAGAGAGCAAAGGTACAGTCAGGGAAGGCACCTGCAGAAATAGGACAAAAGAGAAAAAGATGGTCAGGTGGGCTTTTGTGTGGCCAACTATGGGGTGATGGGGAGACATTCAAACTGTTACATCCAGCTGTTGACTAGCTGAGAAGTGGAGACTCAGTCAGCTGAGTGCGGGCGGTGCTGGAAGACGGGAGAGAAGCCGAACTTTCTGAAGGAGGGTGTGGGGTAATGGAAGCAGAGGGGTTGAATCTTGTCCACACCGAGGGGACTGAAAGAGGAAGTGGTGGCCAGGAAGTTAGCGGAAGAGGAGTTTCTGCAGAAGGCTAGGGACAGACCAGCGTGTCCAGTGTGCACGCACTGAGTGGGCCGGAAAGGGAAGAGAAGGAAGAGTGGCTTTCGGGAGTAGCGGCAGTGAGATGGAGAAAGCTAAGCAAATTTGGGGAAGAAGGGAGGGGCTAGATATGTGAAGGAGGGGGAATGTGCTGAGCGACTGGCCCTCATCCCTCTCTTCCTCACACTCTTATCCTTGCTCCAGCTCCAACTGCCGAGCGAAGAATTGCCCCTACCACCACTTTTCCTGCCCACCGATCCCCCGATGGCCTGGCTCCTGGCCAAGTGCTGGGTCCGTAACTCTGACCTCTATCTTCATGAGCTGCAGTCTCATTTTCTGAAGACACATTTGGTGCCGGAAGTTATTGCTGTGGCCACCATGAGATGCCTTCCTTCAATACATCCTCTCTTCAAGGTAATACCTTATCACCTGCTCTCCTGCCTGCCCGCCCCTCGGCCCCATGGCACAGTCCCGCCTATGCGGGCGCCCTCTTGTGGAATCTCAGGGTGTAGGGAAAGCCAGCCAATGAAAGACCAGTGAGCATGGCTTGCTCTGCATCTTCGACAGGGTGACTTTACCTCTGGAGGAGGTGAAAATCATTCATTGGCAAGGTAGGGGGCTGGAGGGGAGAGGTGAGAAGTCTTACTCTTTTTAAGTATAATGCACAGATAGATGAGCATACAATATATCAACAATGCACACAAATGATGAGGATTCCATCCCAGAAGGGGGTCCCAAATAACATAAAAGAGTTTTCCAGCCGTTTTGAGTGGTTCTAAAAGAGTGATACGTAGGAACTGATAGGCTCAGGTCAACAACAGTAGCCTGTTTTGTGTGTTTTCTTGTTCATTTTTGTTGTTGTTGTTGTTTACAGACATTTGAACCAAGTATTCATTCACCCGGTAACATTTTTCCCTGGGTGTCCCCAGTGGGGCAGGGACTCTTCTAGATGCCTGTGCCAAGCAAAGCAGGCAGGGGCCTGGCCTTCGCGAATGTTCACGTTCAGTTAGGGCTAAGAGACAATAAAGATCGCATTGTGATGTACCAGCTGTGATAAGTACAATGCGGAGAGTCAAAGCAGAGGGATGTGACGTCAAGTTTAGCCTGGGTGGTCTGGAAAGGCTCCCTCGACGAGATCCTGCAGAGAACGAGAGCTTGAGGAGCCAGCCATGAGATGGCCCAGGTGCGCGCCGTTCTGGGCAGAGACCAGTGTAGAAGAGCACAGAGGTCCCGCAGCAGGAAGAAGCTTGGCAGCTTGGAGAACAGAAAGATGACTGTAGCTGGACAAAAGGAGATGAAGTTGGGAAGGGAGGCGGGTTAGGGCGCACGTTCCTCCGGGAAGGCAGCCGAGCCCCTCGAGGGGCTCGAAGGGGGCCCAGGACCCTGGACAAACTCATATTTCTTGTGTCTCAAACACACACACACACACACACACATATGACGCACTGAGAGTAGATAACTGATATGGTGTATGTGTAGCATTAAAATCTCACAGGAGGTGAGAAAAGGGAAACTGTCTGAAAAGGCTCTTTAGAGGAGTGATAATGAAAAAAGGTTGTGAAACTGAGCTAGACTTTAAATAGTCTTATATGAAAAGAAACGTACCATCTCGGCCTTTTGGCTAAGATCAAGTGTAGTGTCTGTTCTTATCAGTTTAATATCAGATACATCTTCTCTCTGAGGACATTATAGTACGTGGATTTTTGGAGCTGGGAGATGGAATAAGAGCTTGCTCCGTTCATTCCGCACAGTGTCCCCAGTATAGCAGTACTTCCGGGAAAAGTGCACAAAAAAACAACAACAAAAAAAATTAAAAAGAAAAGGGAACGGGAACGATTTCTTCCAATTATCACAGAGCAGTAAGTCCGTGGTTTGTGGAATAAATTACAAATCGACTTAATACTCTCAGTGTTGAGGGACCGCTGAGCTTCATGTCTCTGCTTTTCCTGTCGGCCTGGTGGTACCGTTCCTGCTCTTCAACTCCTCCAGATTCCTGCAGGGACTTGCTGCAGCTCTCTTCTGACTTTGCCCTTCCCTGCTCTCTCCCTCCAGCTGATAATCCCCCACCTGCAATACACCATGGAAATTAACGTGCGGGCCAGGACTACGCTGCTCTCTGGCAAGGGCATTTTTAACAAGGTATGAAGAGGGGAGAGGGACTCTGGAGCTCCTGCTCCCTCTGGCTCTGGCCTCTGGCAGGCGGACTTGCCTGACCCTGCCCATCCTTGCTCTCAGGTGGCGAACATTGGTGGGGGAGGCCACGTGGATCTGCTTAGGCGAGCCGGAGCCTTAATAACCTACAGCTCGTTATGTCCTCCTCATGACCTGGCTGATCGGGGGCTTCTGGGAGTCAAGTCTTCCTTCTATGCCCACGATGCCCTGCGGCTCTGGGAAATCATCTCTCGGTGAGGCAGGGGGAAGGCAGGGCTGGTGGGGTGGGCAGGCAGGAAGAGGCTCGGGAGCATAGGAGGCCTGCGTTGGGGGGCTGGGAGCCTGGACCTGACCCTGGGGGCAAGGAGCAGAGGGCCTGGAGGCTCACCGTCAGCTTCAGCTCCCTTGGCCCAACCCCTTGGCCGGCAGCTACGTGCAGGGAACTGTGAATCTTCATTATGAAACGGATGAGGCAGTGAAACAGGATGTGGAGCTGCAGACCTGGTGTCGCGAGATCACTGAGGTCGGGCTGCAAGCGGCCCCGGACCAAGGTGAGTTGAGCCCCTGCACTGAGACGTCCAATCTGAGAGATGCCTCCTCAGAACATCCCCAGAGTCCTCCCTACTTCTATGAAACCTTCCAGAAGCATGTGCAACCCCTATAAAATGCCCCAAGGCTCTTTCAGTTTCTTCTGTAATAAGAGCCCCTCCAGGGTCCTGATGCAGTGGGACCAGTGGTTGCTCATGAATGTTTAACTGGCTCTCTGGCCGGGGGTGGCGGGCGGGGTGGGGAACCCTGGTGTGTAGCATTTGCCCGCTCCCATGGTGTAAATGTTTCCACCATAGACACCATTGTGAAGTCCACCAGCTTGTTAAATACCTGAACATTAGGCATAACTGACTGTTGAGAGCCAGGATGAGCCGTACAAGTACCCCATTGAGCAGGGTCCCCCAGAAGATCTCCCCATTTCCCCAACCCCAACTCACGCTCACGTCATTTCTCACAGTAGCTCCTGAGAGCCCTTGACACCCTTCTGCGCTCTGTCGATCCCCCTGCTGAGCCTCTCTGAGCTCTGCCTCTACTCTTGGCCTCACAGCTTCTGACTCTCCTTCCCCCTTGCAGGGTTTCCCACCTCCTTGGAGTCCCAGGGCCAGCTTTGCCACTTTGTCACCATGTGCATCTTTACCTGCACTGGCCAGCACTCCTCAGTCCACCTGGGCCAGGTACCTACTATAGGGGGGCAGTGGGCATTTTGTACCTGGAGCGGGGGTGGGGCGCTGTGTGCAGGTGGCTAAGGGGTTATTCTCAGAGCCATTGAGTGGAGATGTCTGCCTCTCCTTAGCTGGATTGGTATGCTTGGGTCCCGAACGCACCGGGCACAATGCGCCAGCCCCCACCCACCACCAAGGATGTGACCATGGAGACGGTGATGGCAACACTGCCCAACTTTCATCAGGCTTCTCGCCAGACGTTCATCACTTGGGTCCTGGGCAGACGCCAGCCCGTTATGGTGAGAGCCAGGTGGCCTGGACCCCGAGGAGGGGGCAGCTGGAGGAGGTATAGCATCCCAGCTGGGGGTCCCAGGCTCTGAGCTGCCATGTCCTCTCCGCCCCCAGGTGGCTCTGGGCCAGCACAAGGAGGAGTATTTTTCTGACGCTGAGCACAAAGCTGTGCTGACCAAGTTCAGGGAGGAGCTGGCTGCCCTGGACGAGGAGATTGGGGTCCGGAACGCGAAGCTGGACATGCCCTACGACTACCTGCAGCCCCGCATGGTGGAAAACAGCGTGACCATATGAGCACCTCCGGCTTCTGGTTGTCTCTGCCCCACTTCCACCCAACCCGCTACCCCGTCTCCTGGTGCTCTAGGTTTCACCCACTATCGCTCCCCTTTCTACCTCCACCTTCCCTAGAGAGTCACCTTTCCTTTGAGTATGGCCACAGTGAATAAATCTTACCCCAATTGAACCACCCAGGGCCTCACTTCCCCTATCTTCCTCCCTCTTTTCCTATAGCCCGGCCTTCCTCCCTCCCTCCCTCCCTCCCTCCCTCCTCACTGGGATCTCCCAGAGGGCAGATAATAGTCCCATTTATGTTCACCGTTTCGGGAATGGACTAGGGTAATGATACATACTACACATTTTTTATGATTTTGAAACTCATCTGAGTTGAACAACAATGAAATGATATTTGAGACTAATGAAAGAAAAGAAATCAGATCAAACTCTCCTACAGCAAACACTGGCAAAAGCATGTTTCAAGTCTTTTTAAGTCGATGGGATTTACATGTCCCAAAGGCAGACACAGCACAAAACAAAGCATTAACGCAGCAGTTGTTAAGATTTTCACGTTGTGGCTCACGTAGAAAATGGCAAATGGAAGTAAACTGGTTAAACTGAAGAAGCTGCTTCCAGCTGAAGGTGTTTGACCTTGAGACTTCTGTCTGAAGGACCCATAAATATAACCCATTTGCAGTTTACCAGTTGGGAAGCTCCAAATTAAACTAATTAACTGGAAAAATAGTAAAAATCTCATGGCTATTATATGGGTGACGCTTGGTCTGACTCCTGAAGGAAGACTGGGAGACCAAAGGCTGTGGGAGCGGGTGGGGTAGAATTTAATGCTGGGACTTAGGAGAACCCCCAGGAGGCCAGAGCTCGCCACAGCCTTCACCCCGGAAATCCCACAGTAATGCAGTTTGGCCCGCGATGCGGGGGGGGGGGGGGGGCGGGTGTAGCAGGGAAGTAGTGAGAAGGGGAGTCTCCTGAAAAACATGTTTCCTGCCAGGAAATTAGACTTGACCTTTGGGAAGCGGGCAGGGAAGGCTTGCAGGCAAGGGCATGACAGGTCCCAAAAGTCAAACACTCAGTGGCGTCTCCTTCACCTTGGAGGCCACACCTCCCCTCCTCGGAGGCCCACCTCCTTCTCCTCGAGGGTGCCCCCTCATTATTTGTTCCTTGCTGCATGCTCTCCTTCTGAGGGCATTCTCCTCAGTCTCTGACAGAGAAATCGTCAAATGCCACTGTTCTCTGGAAATGCATTTGTTAGAGCCACAGCTCTATGACAAACAGGCTGGTAGGGAGAAAACCAGGACACGCGGCCTGATGTTCTCTAGCACCTGAACATACACCCCGTAAGTTCCAGTGCGGCTACAAAAGAAAAACTGGGGTCTTAGTGGCCGACGTTATTTAAGCTGAATAAACTCAGTTTCTTACACCAAACTTACTTCAACAATACATTTCTTATAACACATATCAGTAAATGGAAATGCAGTACATTAATATAAATCAAAGCAAGTGTAAACTCAAGACTGAGCGTGATGCAACGTAGGAGTGAGTGATAAACCCTTCCCAGGACGGCTCAAGGGAAACTCTTGCAAACAGACCTCCAGCACCAAAGTTTGAGATAAGAAACCATAGAGTAAGTATACATCTGGCAAGAGGGAACTTTCATCCCAAACCTGGTTATTGTTTGTATCCTAGCATCTTCACGGTAAAAGTCTGGCACATACTCTCTAGATTTACCTTGATCCACAAAACGTGATCACTAGCTCAGTGCATAGTCATTCACAACCTTTGTGTTAAGTATTTGCATTCATTCTGAGATGTCTCATTTAACCGCCCATTGAAACTGGAGCCATTGACTTGTTATAATTTCCAGCTAAAGCTGAGTGAAAGAGTGTAGGAATTTTTTTCTTTTTTTTTTTTTGTCTCACCAGAAGACAGTTTTTCATTGTTCTGAGCAGGGGAGGGGGCGGAGGGGAAGAGAGAGAGAGAAAACAGATGTGAGAGAAAAACATTGACCGGTTGCCTCTTGTACATGCCTCGACTGGGGATCAAACCTACAACCTAGGTTTGTGTCCTGATGGGGAACGGAACCCACAACCTGTTGGTGTAGGGGACTGCACTACTACCCCCTGAGTCCCACCAGCCAGGGCAAGAGTGTAGGGTTTTACCTCTTCTCTTTCTACACAGCAAAACTGCTGGATCTGCAGCTGCTCTCTCACTGCAGGGAGGGGAGTGGAGTGCCAGCCTGAGTGAGCCCCGCTGCGTGGGTCCCACTCTGTGGGTCCTGTACCCACCCCGGACTTGCCCTGGCCCTGAGAGGATGCGGTTGACTTACATATGGGGAGGGCTGGGCGGGGCATTCCTGGCCGGAAACCAGGAGTGGGCCAAGGCCCAGGGCTGGGGATGGGCTCGCCTGGAGCCCAACATTGGTGAATGCAGGTTAAGTTATGCGGTTGTTTCTGCGTCATCCCTCAGGGGAATAAAGCTGCGACATTGCGGCTGGGATAGAGACTCATGCACCGGAGGGGTCGCGGCTGAGAAAGTGTGAGGCCAGCCTTTGAAGACCCCCAGCAAGCCTGACCTCCAGGACGCTGTCTCCAACCCTAACTTCTCCAGGCCACAGCGCTGTCTTCTCTGACTGCTCGCTGCTTTCTCCGCTGATCTCAGCCACGGGAACGAGCTCTTGTGGGAAGTGTCTGTGAGAATGGAAAGATGTAAGAAATACTGAGAAGACAGAATGGGCCGGACTCGGCAATCCGTCAGCAGGAATTGGTAAGGAGGAGGAGGAAAGGATGACTCCAAGCACCCGGGCTGGTTAGGGGGCAAAGATTTTTTATCTTAAACTTTTAAATTGACACACAACACTCAGACAAGAAAGGGCACAAAACACAATGTCCTGCTCAAAGGATCATCACCAAGAGAAAATCATGTAGCAACAGGCCAGGACAAGAAAGAAAACATTACCAGCTCCCTTAAAGCTCCCATATAACTCCCAACATTACCCTGAATTTTTAAATATTCATCTTTAATTGGAATTTTTTTCTAACATAGTCTAAGGTAACTCTGCTCAGTCTTTACCCTGAAGGAAACCCTGAAATATGTTCAGGTCTCAGAAAATCTGTACTTCACCATTTTGATATCTACAACTCATGGTACACTAACATAATTATTATCAGTGTGATATAATAATGCAATATCAGGGCTTTTTTGAGTAGACATTGATACTTTTCCTGTGGATATATTTATTTTGACCAGCTTTTCTGTAGCTTGCCTATCCCTAAAGAACATCAACTATAATGCTAGGAATGGAAGTAGGAGATTTTTTCTTTTAACAAATTCCCCACTTTGGTAGTATAGCTTTATTGAATTAGAACTAAAGTACAACGCTGGCCGGTGCGGCTCAGTGGACTGAGAGCCGGCCTGCGAACCAACAGGTTGCTGGTGGGGTTCCCAGTCAGGGCGTATGCGGGGGCTGAGGGCCCGGTGCCCAGGTGCAGGCGCGCAAGGGGCAACCGATGGATGTATCTCCCGCACATCAATGTTTCTCTTTCTCCCTCCCTTCCCCTTTTTATTCAAAACAAACAAAACCCCCGCAAAACTAGAGGAGAACACACTGCATGCATTTGGAGTGCATAAATTGATCATTTTCTGACACATGTATATGTCGATACAGCCATATCTACAATCAAGATGGTGAACATTGTCATCACCTCCAAAAGGTTGCTTGTGTCCTTTTGCCCCTCGTTTCTTCCTCCATCCCTGTTCCCAGGCAACAATCATCTGCTTTCTGTGATAAACTAGTTTTTATGTTACAGATTTTGTAAGAATGGAATCATGCAATGTGTACTCTTTTTGTCTGGCTTGTTTCATTTAGCATAGTAAGTTTAAGATTGATCCATGTTATTGTATATTGTAGCTGCGTCTTTTTTTTTTTTTTTTAAGGATTTTATTCATTTTTAGAGAGAGGGGAAGGAAGGGAGAAAGAAAGAGAGAGAAGCACCAATGTGTGGTTTGCCTCTTGTGTGCCCTACTGGGGACCTGGCCCATAACCCAGGCATGTGCCCTGACTGGGTACTGAACCAGCATCCTCTGAGTTTGCAGGCCAGTGCTCCATCCACTGAGCCACACCAGCAGGGCTGAGGCTTCTTTTTATTGCTGCATCATATCCCTTTGTGTTCAATGCCACAACCTGTGTATCTGTTCATTGGATGATAGTCATTTGGGGTTTTTGTGTATTTTGGCTGTTACAGATAAAGCTTTTCTGGCCAAATAAAGCTTCATATACAATTCTTGTGTGCATATGTATTTCTGTTTACTTTTGGGTAAATTCCTAAGAGTAGGTTGTATGATTGTATATACTTAACCTTTTAAGAAACTGCCAATGGTTTTCCTAAGTGTTTGCACCATCTTACGTCCCCTCAGCAGTGTTTGAGGGTTCCGGTTTTCCACATTCTTAGCAACACTTGGCATGGTAAGTCTTTGTAATTTCAGACAATTGAGTCTGTGTAGGGACCAGTGATATTGAGTATCTTTTCATGCATTTACTGGACACTTTTATATTTTCCTTTGTAAAGTCTATTTAGATATTTTGACCATTTTAAAAATGGAGATATTTGTCTAATTAATTACTAGTATGGGTTTTTTATTTATATTGGATACAAGTTCTTTGTGTGATACAATCATTGCAAATATTTTCTCCCAGTTTGCTTTTTCTTTTCTTAATGGCATCTTCTGAAGAGCAAGAGATTTAAATTTTGATTAATTTTAATTTTTAATTTAAAAAATCACTTCATGCTTTTTGTGTTCTAGGTAAGAAACCATCGCCTAACTCCAGCAAAAGATTTTCTCCTGTGTTTTCTTGCAGAAGTTTTATAATTTCAGAATTTACATTTAGGTCTACAATCCATTTTGAATTTATTTGTGTGTATTATATGACATAAAGATTGATGTTGTTTTTTCCCCAGAAAGATATCGAATAGATCCAACATTACTTGGATATTTTTCTCCCAAAATTGAGTTTCTTTAGCACCATTGTTGAAAATCTATTTGCCATAAATGTGTGGGTCTGTTTCGGAACTCTCTATTCTGATCTCTATTTCCATCTTTTCATCAATAGCAACACTTTTGATTACTGCAGCTTTATGATCAGTGAAGAAGTCAGTAAGATAA